TGGTACACAAGTAGCGCATGCCACTACATATACACATCTTCCACATATACTTTGCATATGTAATGGAATTCTTCCAGGATTCAATGTAATTAAAACTCTTTGGTTGCAACTGACTTTGATCATAAGAGTTGGCAAATGGCAGGGGCAAATCCAACTTATCCTTTCTCCAAAAATATGTGTTTTCCCTGCATATTGCATAGTAATTTGCTATGTCACTGCACATGTAATGCAGGTACCCTATTGCCATAACTGCCTGGCTATGCTTTTCTGACAGGATGAGTAACACCCAAAAAGAGTCAAGAGTGTTTATAAAACTTGACAGAAAACAGCTATGACACAACACATGGGGCTAGGAAGTAGCAGCTCCCAGCATGCATTCATATGGAAAGGAGTCTCTTCTCCATCCTTGTAATCAATACTCACTCCTGTTCTTAGTTCTTTGATGAATCTACTGTATGAAGAGTTTCCTGTGCTGTTTGTGTTTTAGCGGAGGGATAGTTTCAGCCAGTATGCAAGCGCATTGTCACAAGTGCGCAGTATATATAAAGTAGAAATGGCAGCTTCAAACATGCACTGATATCTAAAGGGTTCCTTGTTATATAAGCAATACAGTTTTTTGCACATGCCATAGCCATTTGCTGTGTCAACACATCCAAGCTGCATATGCACTCAAAATGCAACTATGTTCTATATACAAACACATTTTTCTTATATAGTACATACAGTTATGGAATGGGTGGAATATAAGTCACCTATGCCCTTACAAACACAAGTTTTGTACACCTTTTTTGCATATGCAGTGGTATTCTCCCAGGTGTTAACGCAGTAACAGTTCTTTGCTTAAAATACTTGTTGATCACAAGAGTTGGCAAATTCCAAGGGCACTTCCATGTCCCCCTTCCAGAAGGAGCATGTTTCCTGCATATTCCATGGTGATTTGCTGTGTCACTGCAGATATCAGATATAATGGCAAACATTCTGTTGCCATGGCTGTTTGATAAGGAATGTACTCATGACTGTGGGTAAGATTTAAACTATGTCAGTATAAGTTCGTCATGGGAACCAGAACGACACAAAACCATGTAAAAGAAACACCTAAGCAACCTTACCAAACTCCAAACAATTGTATCTATAGAATGGCTGCCTTGCTTGTGCGTTGATGCAGCAAATCACCATGAAGTATGCAAAAATATTGCAATTACTTGGGCAGAGACAGCAACTTGAAATTTGCACTGCCATTTGCATAAGAATGTTATTGGAACTGTCGTGTCAACCAAAAGGCGACCTGGCACTGCAATCTCAAAGACCATCAATGCAGATACAAAGTGTTTTAAATATATATATATATAATCTCTGCAGTAGCTGTATACCTATGTAGTGCCTATATATCCACATGAAGTACCAACTGATATAATGAATATACTTTGTTTCAAGAGGATATTGGGCAAAGAACTTTGGCATGCATATACCAAGACCACCTATCAAAACCAATGGAGCTACAAAAAGCAAGCAGCCAAAACTAGAGTTAAGGATTAATACAGAAACATATATAAATGAAAATAAATGAAACATAAATGAAACAAAACCATGTTTTTTCAAAAAAAAACACCATAAAACACTGTAAAAGTGGGGGCCCCACAGGGTACCACTCGATTTTTTGAAGGGAAACTCCTCAAAATCTGCTGAATTCCCTGGTTGGGATCCCAGTCCTCGATCTCCTGGGCATATTCGGTCAGGTTCATCACCAAGATGCTCCCCGGATCCGTGCCGCTGGGCGTGAAGGATCCCTCCTCCTCGAGGTCACGGCTGGGTGAAACATCCAACCGGATCAAACCAACTCCGTAAAAAACGTCTATTGGTTGATCCATAGCTGCGTAATAATACGCATCCCAGTAATCAAACGTAACGAAAAAAAACAACATGAAGTCATTCAGTTCGATGTTTCTCCATCAAGACCTCTATTTAGTTCGAGGGATTCCCACATGTGATGAAACCAGAGGGTATATATCAATCATGATCCATGAATTATCCTCTAATTCTCCACGAATCATCCATTCTTGTTGGCTAAATCTAAATCACCATTATTCCTAGGGCGAAACTTACCACTCACCATTCCCAGTGCCCCAACAGGGCATCGCGACCTGAGAGATGGAGAGGTATGGCAACAGACTGTACTCCATCTCGGACTCTTCCTTCACCCAACTTGGGACTTCAGGAACATATGATGAATGCGCTTGCGCTATTTTTGATTTCTCTGAACATCGAAAATCCCGGAACCCAAAAATGTGAGATTTTCCAATGGTGACATCCGATGGTTCAGTGAATGTTGGGCCTTTTTGATGGTGGAAACAAACAAATTTAACATGCCATTGGCCGTGGTGGAGCCGCCCATCTTTGTCAAGCTCCGAAGCTGGTAAGATGGCCAGTTTGGCCAGGAGTCCTTGATCAGGACATCCAAAAAATCTGGAAGTTCAGAAAATGTTCCCAATGGAAATACTGGTTCTAATACCAATCATAGTGGTTATATATGGTTATATGATGGGATTATATGGGATTATAATATTATAACACATTATATATAGGAAAAAAATCTGGTCACCATAGAACTGAACAGACACTGAATGGGGAGATATATTTTGATTTCCTGGCAGTGAAATCACCGTTGACTGTTGGTTCCCAACTCATCCAGTCATTGGTCAAGGCAACTCCCCCACCTTGGAGTCCACGGTCATGCTGATGCTCCTCAAACATCTGATGGGCGATAAATCCAATTGACCCAATTGGATAAAGGCCACTGATTTTGTTTTTTCTATTCTAAGTATTGCTGGGGCCATCCATGTTTTGTTTTACCGTTGAGCCTCCATTCTTGGCCCTTATAAAAACATGTTTGACTGCATTCTGATTTGTTGTGGATATAATGTGATAGTCTATCGTTTACACTGGGATATTTGCCCATTGAACTCCATTCATGTAATGGAACTGTATCGGATGAAACCCTAATTTGGTCAACTCCCCGGCTCAACCGCAATTCTTCCTGGTTCGAGTCAACCCCCCTATTTTTCGATGGTGTTAATCATATCGAATCCCAATTGTTCATGGTTGAAACATGTTAAAATCACATGTGTGTCTCTCTGCAAAATGTGGGAAACCTCCTTAAAATAACCACTTTGATGGTCCGCAATGATGATGAATCATATGTTATGTTTTTTGGTTTAATTACTTGCAGACCAACCCATGTATTGGTTTCAATTTAACTACAGTACCATTTTTTATCAACATGTTTGGTTAAATTCTAAAAAAACACCTGTTTCTTGGTTAAATCCTATGTATTTAAAAAGAAAAAACATTGCTTCCCGGTTTCAATCCTTTAGAATCACTGTGTTTGACCGGTAAAACATGGTAAATCCCGTTAAATCACCCATTTGTATCCATTTGTCCTATTAATTTGATAGGTAAAACCCATATAAAACCCATTAATACATTGATGGCTAACCCCACCCTCAGCGCGGTGACCGCACCTATGAAGGCTTTTGAGGTCCACCAGTGCCGGGCTCGGCAGCGAGAAGAGTCGGAGCTTCTCGGCCACCTGGAGGTTGAAAATGATAATATCATGTATACCCTCTGGTAAACTAACATAGCTATTGAAAATGGCCATTTATAGTGGATTTTCCCATTAAAAATGGTGATTTTCCATAGCTATGTTAAATTACCAGAGGGTATGTATAATAACATATGGTATATGATATGTGATTATCAATTACATCATGGACTTAAAAGATTATATGTATAATATCATAAACAAAGTTTTAAGTTATGATATATGATATATGAAAAATATTTGATATTAGATTGTCATATACATGGTGTCAATATGTGTATATATATATATATCATTATATTTATGTATGTATATATAAATATGTATTATGTAATGATGACATGCAATGATGATATACAGTGATAGTATATGCTGATTAAATAACGGTGAATAGTATTACAATGATAATATGATTATATCGTGTATGCACCCTAGGGAAAATTGCCCATTTATAGCTGAATTGTGATCTTTTACCTATTAAAACTGGTGATGTTCCAACTCGTTATGTTAAAAAACAAAAGGCATTTAACATGGTGAACTGGAAAATCACCAATGCCAATAGGAACTTATCATCATGTGTACCATCCATATTTCATGAGTTTATGGCAATTGGTTTTTTGGGGAGTTATAATCCCAATTATAATGATAATCTGATAATAAGATTGGGATTAACATGGATTACAAGCGGCTATTATCAATTGTGATATATAATGGGAGTAGTAAGGGTGGCCTAAAATCCCATTAAAATCCCATGAAAATCCCATTAGAATCCCATTAAAATCCCATTAAAATTCCATTAAAATCCCATGAAAATCCCATTAAAATCCCATTAAAATCCCATTAGAATCCCATTAAATCACCATTTTCAATGGGTAAACTGTTAGACGGAACGAGCCCCCTCTCGGGGGCCTCCTCCACGATGACGCTTCGCCGCACGGGCGACAGCTTGCCATCCACATCGCAGAGCCATTCGCGGCCGAAGGTGAAGGACCTCCATGGTGGAGATGGGAATCTTATGGGAAATATCACGTCATCATTTTTTTAATTTCTTATGGATATTATAAAATATTATGGGTCAGTATGAAAATCATTATGGTCTGATTTGACACATCAGAAATGAACATATTCATGGGTGTCATCCAGAATATGATGGTTACATTTCCCATTAAGAAAAAAAAAACGTAATAATATGATAAATTTCACATCCATAATATATCCACGTCACATCAAGATGGTGAACTTCACCCAGAAGATTGAGGACTTTATGGGAAAATGATGGGATAATCGTGTGAAATTGTGCAAGAATTAGAGTTGCAGGATGTGGGAAATTCTGGTTGTTTGATAAACATCATTACGTGTATATACATATGTGAACACATGCATGTGTACACATATGTGTACGTGTACGTGTATACGTACATATGTATGTGTGTTTTATTTATGTATGTATTTATATAGTTATTTATATATATATGTGTGTGTGTTTCTATACATGTGTATGTATATATATATATATATGTTCATATACATGTATATATATATATACAGATATATGTGTGTGTCTATATGTTTATATATATATATTGGAGTTTGGGATTTGCAGTATGAAAGAATCCATTCCAAGGAGCTCTTCGAATTCTGATCGCCCCCCCTTTTTTTTTGGTCAAAATCTGCCAAATCCTGGAGAAAATCTGCCAAGATCTTGCACTTCGGTTGAGGAGAATATCTATGATGGCAACGAAGAAATAAATCTGGGTAAATTATAATATTTCACTATCCTGAATTAAGGCCATTTTGGGATGATTCCCCTTACTAACTATGATTATAGTGAGGTCGCAGTGAGGTCGTTGTAAATTACCCAGATAAATGTGGTTGGAAAATTAACCAACATCTATATTATCCAAGCTGGAGAATATCAGTGATTGGGCACGCAACTACGGATTAAGAAACCAGCTGGCTGATTGTCATTGGGAGGATATCATTGTAGTAGCAGACATCACATGTTGCTCTCCGGTCCCCCTGATAAATCAACCAGGGTTGATTGATCAGGGCTTGACAAATCCGAGAACAAGCATGCAAGGTGTGGGAAATTCTGAGGAAGTAAGAGTGCAATAACCGCACATGGCCTTGAGGCTTGATTCGGAAAAATGGACATTAGTGTGGACTCAAACGCCACAATTGACAGGAAGCGCCTCCAAAATCTCTTCTACCCTCCGGCAATCAAACATGGCAGCAACTCCCCCATCTTCATCCATCTATTTATGAGACTCCACTGAAAAATCGGGATTTTCTACCTTTGCATCATTGATTACCACCTATTTTCGAAGCTTCAAAGGTTTAGTCAGCCATTTCTCCTGGTCAAACCCCCCAGGTTTCAGTCTAAGCAAAACATGTCGATGATAAATTCGAAAATCCCTTTCTTTTTCATGGTAATGGGTGATTTCATGGGAAATTCCATGGTGAATCACTAGAATCCTTCGTTACCAGTGAGGCACCGGCCCAAAGGCCAAGTCGCTCCGTCTCCTGTAGCGTCATCAACTTGTCCGTGACCCGGCGGCGAAAGTCCTGTGAAACTGACTCATCCCCAGTCATCCCCTGCCAGTTACAGCGCCAGCCAGTTACAACTAACCTCTGGTTATGTCAAAATAGCTATTGAAAATGGTGATTCATAGTGGATTTACCCATTAAAAATGGTGATTTTCCATAGTTATGTTAGTTTACCAGAGGGTAGCTCCCAATAAACAAGGAGTTTGGGTCAGCTGACAGGATACTGAAAAACCAAGTCCTCCGAAAGATCTTGTTGCTATCCACAATATCTGCGAAAAAAACCTGCATGAAAAAGCCTGCATTTCAAGCCTTTTTCAGTCCACATTGGCAGCCAAACCAGCTAAACAGGTCCCTTTTTTAAGGCCCACTTCGCTGCCCCAAAGCACTCCTCTTCGTGCTTCATGATGGCTTGTTTCTCTTTCATCTGCAACAGCCATGGATCCTGGCCAGAGAGCCCTCACAGCCCTCATCCAACTTGGCCATCTCCGGTTTCATCAGCTCCATGGCGGGAAAATCCACCATTTAGTTCGATGATTTTCCCAACAAAATCCACCATTGATAGATGTGTTTTCCCATTAAAATTACTTAAAAACTCCATAGAAATAGATGATGTTCCCATCAAGACCTCCATTTAGGTCGGGGATTCTCAATTATCATGTCCTGTCTGACCCCATGTATCCAAGGTGTATAAGGCAGGAACAAAACACGAGTGGTAAAACTAGGTATCATTTGTTCTTGGATGTGTCACATCTACCTCGCAAACAACCATCGAGCTAACTTATGAAGTTGAATTTCTACTTTAACACGAGGTGTAATTCAAAACTCCAATGGTTAATTACCTTCCGGTTATTTCACATTGCTATGATTTACCTAATCCTGATAAAAATGGTGATGTTCCATTGCTATATTAAATTACCAGAGGCTAAACCATATGAATCCCATTCTTGATCACAACAAAATAATACAAAATAGATATTAAATGTTACGAATGGACATGAACCATCTTTAATAGATATTCTCTACAAAAATTGCCATGCCGTACGAAACCCCTCTGCCTTGTTATAGGCCGTCTTGCGATTCCTGACCAGGCGGCAGGGATCATCATCTCCCTGGTTAAAAGCCTTATAGACATCTTCTTTAAAAATATGCTATGATAGTTTCCGAGATATATGGCGGTGTACATATAATATATATATATATATGTATGTATATATATATATGTATATATATGTGTATATGTATATATGTATATATATATACATATAGCATAATAATTACATATATAACATTGACCCGAAGAATTCGAGCAGCTCAATGGACCTACTGGCATAAGAACCAGAATATTAGTGGTCTGCCACAGCCAAGATGCTGCAGGAGTTGCGCGGATTTTCGCATTCTGCTTGGCAAAAAAAATGGTCTGCTTTCTTGTCCACTCACTACCTAAAACTTACACAAGTGTCTGCTGTATTCAGTCATACCAAGGCATTGTTCTGACACAAAAAAAATCCAATGCTTTCTGCTTCATCATTCAACTACAAGAAATGAAGAACAATGTAATGTTCATTCCGTGCTTCATCTTCACAAATATCATAAACACAAGTTTCATATACTTTTATAATATACTGTGTATCCTATAATGCTAAGCATATGATATTAAAGATTAACAATAAAAATGTACGTGGCCATCCCCTTTGATCCAGGACCTTAAATTTCATGAAAATATTGGATGCAATAAATATGCATGTTATACTGTAAAAACCAGTAGAGAATTGAAAATGTAGGTCCTGGAGGGGGGTGACCATATATATATACATATATATATATATATATGATTATGTATACAATGCCATGTATAATTATGTATCAAATTATATGTAGAAATATGTATATATAATCATATGCACAATTATGTATATAAATATATGTATGATTCTGTCTATATTGTATCTAAATCAATAATCATAACGTTTCATCTTTGAAATGAGGAAAACCCGTGGGAAACCCAGCGGCAGCAAACGTTCGTTGTGTCCGACCTTCGACTTTTGGCAGCGTTGGTCTTCATCGCATGTCCACGCAACTGGCAGGAGAAACGATGAGGGGATAGTACTTGGGTGAAGGGAATAATAATAGTTTATATAGTAGTGGGTAATAGTGGGTAATAATGGTGAACAGTGATTTTTATAGTGGTTTGATATGTTTTGATTGAGAACATAAGTTACTTGGTTGTTCATCCCATGTTGAGGGGTTGATGATGGTGAATTGTTGGGTTTAAAAATCATGGAAATCCACTGGTTTCCTGACACTCATGGTGAGTGGTTCAAACGAACAGGTAGAAAACAAATCACCATCAAAATATGATTGCATAAAAAATATGGTTGTCTGAAAATAGGGTCCCCCCGAATCCCTTTTTTCCGTCATTGAAAAATCCATGTTCCCTATGAAAATGCAAGTGTGTATCTTTTTGGACCAAGTTTTCTGTTGCCACACCACACCACAGGCTGTGGAGCCACGCCCTCACTTGCTGCTCAAAATCGCTGGTGCCCTTCTCTTCCTCAGTCCAATGGATGATCATCGCTATCTCCCGGTGTTCCAATGATTCCAGTTACATCGAACCAATGGTTTTGCTGGTTCAATACATGGTTAAAACCACCATTTTTTGGTCTGCCAATCACCAGAGGTCTGCCAAGACCAGGAACCATCTCCGCCGCAATGGTCTCGGCCGCTTCCTTGAAGTAGCTCTTCCACTCCTCGAAGATCAAACATGCACACCAGGCGTCGATAGATAGATAGATAGATAGATAGCTAGCCAGCTAGCCAGCTAGATAGATTGATAGATAGAGACAGATAGAGACAGAGAGAGACAGAGAGAGATAGAGAGAGAGAGGGAGATAGAGAGTGAATAATATAGTCTATGTATGTATAATGATTTGTATAGATGCATGTTGACAGATGTATATTACATTGTATTATATGATAATCTATAAGAGATTCTGAAACTTGGCTACTCAACAAGGGCACACATTGGGATGGCCTCCATTCTGGCCACATGGATGGGATCAAAATATCCAATTCGTTGAGAAAAATCATGTACCTTCAAAACCATTTTCAGAAAGGTATACACCATTGGATTATCATCATTATCACCATTATATTAAAAATAAAATGTGTATGTATCTATATATATAATTATGTAATTATGTATATGTATATATATACCATTAAAGGTGATCATGATTATCATCCATTTTCCCCTATGAAAAATGGATAAAAATGGTCCCTTTTATACAGTATACCACCATTTTCAAACCACAAAGCCCACCAACATCCTTCATGGAAATCAAGCCGTCACAGGGATCGATATCAATCTGCTTGAAGATCTCGAAGGGCCTCGGGCCACTGACCATCGAAACGGAAAGCGTCAAAACCTCCGGTGTCATCAAACATGGCTAGCTGGAAGCAATGGAAAATCCCCATGGCAAATCGAGGTTTTATTTGGAAATCATCAAACTAAATGGTCATGGCTAGCTGGAAAATCCCGAATCGAGGTTTTAATGAAAAAGTCATCGAACTAAAATAGTGGATTCCCCGCTGCCATGGTCGATTACCAGAGGGCAATCAGATTTGAGTGCTTCAAAATGAAGAAGGGTCAAGATTCTCAACCCCAAAGATGGATGGCTATGGATTCTATGGATTGTTCCTATTAAAACCGACGAATTTGGTGAGTCGATTGCCGGCTTTAAGGGTCGCCACTATGAAGCTGTGGAAAAAATGGCGACTTGAACACTGTGGAGCCCTCCACTTCACCAGTTTCTTCATCAGTGATTGGTTATGTGTATGTACGGTATGTATACAGTATATATATATACATATGTATATACATGCACATCCGTTTTAGTCCCTCAAACTCCCAACCATTCTGTAAGTGTGACATTCTCTCCCTTCAAGTAGGACTTCACCCGTCTTTTGTCGTTGCCCCAATACGGGTTTCCCTGCTTCCAGCCCGTGAGTTTCTCGGAATCGATGTGTAGCAAAGTGAAGCCTGTATCCCATACCTCAGCTCGGCGCTCGGTCCAGGGGGACCCAAGGGTCCGAGAAAACATCTCCATTTGGGGGGGGTTCCATATGGCTAGAAAAAAACACCCAATAGCTGGATGGTTTAGAATGGAAAGTCCTATTAACATGGATGGTTTTGGGGGGTAGCAAATATTAGGAAACCTCTATTTACAAGATGTCATGTGTTCTTAGAGTCCTTAGAATTGTTCAATGGATTGACTTCCTCCACATCCTTGAAACCAATGGCCCACGAGAGCCTGGTTCATGGCGGGAGACGACTTGCGGGTGCTTGTGTGTAATTGTTAGAACCCACTCACAAATGGAAGAACCCACTTCAGGAATTGTGATGAACCAAGATCCCAGTTTAAACAACACTGCTAAAAACGTGTGGTAATAGTCACATAGTCCACACTGCGCCATCCCGAGAATCAGTCTCCATCCGCAATCATATCTGATATTTCATAAACTCAACAATAAACCCCAATGCTTGAATGTTTAAATAAACCCCTAGAAAAGGAAAAATAAGCATAAGTAAGCTACAGTATGGATCATCATTGCCTTTGCAACATCTACCCACCGCCATCCAATCACCCCTCCTCCACCCGCAGCCCCAACCCCTTCCCAATCAACGGATGCAAGGCACAACTTGTGCAATCTTCCCAATGCGACGTGTGTCGAACCAACGGAAGGCGCGCTTCAGAGAGCCCATTTTCTTCACAAAGACCTCAGGGTGGAGGCAGGGATCTGGCGCGGCCTGGCCCTCTGGTAACACGGACAAATATGCGATCATCATAAAACTAAATTTAAATGGGTGATTTTCCAAACAGATTTAATTACTGGAGGCTACAGAAACTTTAAAAGATCGATTTGAGACAAGTTACCTCACACCCACTTATAGCCATCGTATCATCAAAAAGCAAATAGTTGGAGTGTCCTTTTGTTAAGGACCTTTTGCCTGGGAAATGCATTTATTGGTGGTTCAATCCCAATTGGTTCAAGGTCACATCCTCATTTTAAGGGCTTCTTAAAATTAAAAATCAATGCGTCTATCGCTTAAAAATCCTTTTTTCTGATACTTAAAATCCTCAATCTTCACAATTTAGCTGATGAACTTCCTATGTTTGCTGACTAAATTCCAATTGTTGCTTGTTCAAGTCCTATGTTTAGTCCTGAATTCCGTTGGGGTTCCAAAAAACAACGATCACATCACAACGGGCTCTCCGGCATAGGCCAAAGCCAGGCGCCCACTGGCATTCATAGCTGCCAGCTCGCTGGCCAGCTGCTCCTAGCGAATGGGATATGTTTGATAGTTTGATGGGTATAGAATTACTAAACATCTATGAGATGGATCTCCTAATTAGTAATATCTAGGAGATTCGTGATTTATCCATCTCCCTTACTAGGAGTAATATCCATGTGAGTAATTTCTCCATTGGTAAAACACTAGCAATGGAGATGGAAATTTATCGTGGTTTTCCAATCATCTGTTAATGGTGCATCATGGTGAATTTAACTGACAGGAATCGATGATTTTCCCAGCGATAAAGCTCCATTGTTTCCAGGATCTCCAATTTGCCATGTTTGAGTATCGGAGAATACATGTAACATATCCATGCAAATACTTCTTTACCCTCTGGCTCTGGTAAATGAGCAGAGCTATGGAAAATCGCCACTTTGAATAGGCATTTATATATATAGTCTGTAAATGGGCCCTTGTCCATAGCTATGTTAAATTACCGAAGGGTAGCAATCATAATTGTCCCAAAATGTCCCAGATATTTCCCAGATGTTTCTGAGATATGTCCCAGCTATTTCCCAGATAATTCCCAGATATGTCCCAAATATGTCCCAGATATTTCCCACATATGTCCCAGATAGACATGTCCCGGATACGTCCCAGCTATTTCCCAGCTATTTACCAGATATTTCCCAGATATTTTCAAGCTATTTCCTAGATATTTCCCAGATGTGTCTGAGATATTTCCCAGCTATTTCCTATGTATTTCCCAGATGTTTCTTAGATATTTCCCAGCTATTTTACAGCTATTTCTCATGTATTTCCCTTATATGTCCCAGCTATTTTCTAGATATTTCTGAGCACCAGATATGTCCCAGATGTTTCTGAGATATGTCCCAGCTATTTCTCATGTATTTCCCAGATGTTTCTCAGATATTTCCCAGCTATTTTCCAGATGTTTCTGACATATTTCCCAGCTATTTATTTCCCAGATATTTCTCAGATATGTCCAAGCTATTTTCCAGATATTTTTTGCAGCTTTCCCCAGTCCTGCTCCGCGACCGCGGTAAGCTCCGCATCATTCAGCTCCTACCAAGGCCGCCGATCGGATAATAACCAGCGATTGTACAGATAACCTATAAATATCTGACTATAATCTATTAAATATCACTAATAGATACTAATATTAAATATCACTAATAGATACTAATAGACTAATAGATGACTATCATGACTATCAAGGCTAGTTCCACCAGCAAATACCTTTGCGAAGGCGATGTCTCCTGCAGGTCCCTGCCATCCACGCCATGTTTCAACACGCGTTGCATGTGTTCTGATGGCGGCCCCGCCGACCTCGGCAAAGTGGATGGGATATGATGGAGGGATCAAAATATGATGGGATTAGACCATTTAAAAAAGGAACCACGAAATCTTACAAATCCAAAAGCTTCAAAAATGTGATGTTTCAAAAATCTCATGTGTTATCTTCAAATCGGATTGAAGTATGATTCTTCCTGATAAAAACCGTCCATTCCAACGATTTTTCCAGCTCTTCCACCCGCCGCCACGGCCCATCATGAAAAACCCAGGCACCGTGAGAGATTCGGTGCCGCATCCGCGTCCTCCTCGTCGTCGTCACCTGGGCCATTCGCCAGCATTCGCCAGCAATAAACAGTCTTTTACCAGCAAAAAAAAAAGTAGGGATTTGACATAGGTATGGAATCTATGGCCCCCTGTAGGTTGTAGTTCGATGACTTAAATATCTACAAAAATGATGATGTTCCATAGCGAACGGTGAAATCACTAGATGTTAAGTGGAAATGACTCCATCTTGGTGTGTCTGAAACTTCGGATACATACCCTTTTTTGTTTTGTGTGACAATAGGATACCTAAATCTCACGCCTAAGAAAGAGGTTCCCAATTCAAATATTTTTTGGGGATATCCCCCATTTTCGACAAACTCATGTATGTGTATATAATATATATATACAGTATATGGTTAATAGTTATGAGATTTACGTGCTTTACGTTTTTGATACGGGCTCACCGAAAATCCTCTGGAGATGTGTCTATCAGTGTAGTTGGTAGTTCCAGTGGCAACCGAAGAAGTGCAGCATCAAAACGTCTGGGTCCGCCTTCTCTTTCGCCAGATCCCAAATACCCATCGGCTGTGTTGAAGTTGTCTTGTGTTTAGATATGTTTAAATTATTGTCATCATATCCCACTTGATTTTGGCTTACATCCTTCTGTTGTAGAGGTGACTCTCCCAAGTTTGGGTGGTTTAGAGTGTATATTCACATTCTTTGGTTAACCCACGAAGCCAAAAGGGGTATTGCAGCAGTTGCAACTTGTCTCTGAACGCATTTCAATCTTCCTCTGACAAAAAACATGACATCTTCAAGTTATATTCCAAAAAAAACGAAAGAAAGGGGTTTGTCTGAAAATAGATCAAACCCCAAAACCCAATGGATTATCATCATTTTCCCAACTAAAGTGGCCATGGATATCCCCCATGGCCCAAAAAAGCGCCCTTCCCACCTAGGATAGCTGCTTGCCACTCAGCGAAGGAACGTTTGGGACGCATCTCGGGCGTGAAGTCGGGAAGCGTTTGGGGCTACAACATATATATATATATATATGAATGATGTTGTAAAACAACACCGGGTATATATATATATATACACATATGTAGATGTATACCTATGGGTATTGCCATTGTGATATTGATAGTGACATTGATATTAACATTGTGATGCTGATACTGATGGATGGCTTGGTATTCTAGTAAATCCCCATCGGCCAGCCGGCGAAATCACTTGATGTTAGGTCATAAAATCCATCAAAGCATCATGTGTGTTGGTTAAAATCTGTCAAGTCACCATGTTTGTTGCTTAAAAACTATCAAATCATCATGTTTGTTGGTTAAAATCGTTGCTTAAAACCCATCAAATCCACCCCAGCTCCAGTGGTGCCTGGTCTTCAAGGCCTTCCACATCAGAGCTACTAGATCCGGTACTATCGTCCTGACATCGAAAAATCATCTGAATTTGGCACCAAACGTGGTGGTAGAACCACTCGAAACGAGGGATCATGTGATTTAATGTGATTTAACCATTAAAAACTACGGATCCAAAGAAAGTTAGAAATTAACTTATCATTAAAAACTGAAAATTAGGGATTTGACCACCCGAAAATCGTGATCTTAACCCTAAACAACTGGGGTTTTAACCACTAAAAGTGGAAGATTAGGTGTCAATAAACATGGATTTACATGGATGTGCCAAATGCATTTCTGATTAATCCGGCTGAAGCATTTCATGATTACCTGCAATGTCAGGTGATTTTTCAGTAGCTTCCCCTTACCTTTGCATGATCTATGGTGCGTAGTGAGGTCGCTACACTTCCACAATTCAATCATGGAATTGATACACAGCCGAAGTGAAAAAATCGTGAATCTACAGATGGACACAGCCATGACATGGGTGGACTTTCCAGCCACTAGCTACTGCTGGAATCCTACCACGGGGACGTGAAAATCACCATTGAAATTGTATGCAATTTATGGGGAAGAATGTTCACATCTGCCTTCGTTCTGTGCTAAGCTACCGTTCGTCAAGAGTGAACCATCCCAGACATTTTGCGGAAAAATGCTCCTTCCCAAAAACAACGCCACCATCGCCGTGCGAAACTCCACCATCCCACCCATTCAACTGGCAGTTTCTCTCCATTTTCGGCACCATCGGCACCAGCTCAACTGGTCACTGGTCACAGCTGGAAGCGTCGATGGATGCGGTGCCCGGTGGATCGACTGTGCCTCCGCAGGTCCTCACTACAGCTGCAAGCCTTGCTGCAGCTGCACTGGAAGGCGCCCACGTGACACCGGCGCTCCTTAAAGAAACAACGAAGGGCCACAAAGGGGTTGAAAAAATGGGAGATACTTAAGTTACTGCATCTTGATGGAGAGAACATGGATATATCACGCAGTTGTGATAGAAAATTGAGTATAACCATGGTGATAAACGTCCATCATTTGGGGCATAACTCCTCTGATTATGGCTGGATACCCACTTAGCAGAAATGCACCCCAATTGCGACTCCAATGAGCATGAATGAGGATGGAAAATGAACATGTTCGACACCAATAGCCAGAGATTCCCATTGGGTACCCCTAGATCCACCGGTTGATAAAATCGTTTCTTGTTTGCAGAATTGAATTCATCTCCCTGCTACTTGTTTATATCCCATAAAAAAATCCCCCATGTTCATTAGTCAAATTCTCATGTTTGATCACTTCCCAATTCTTATTGAATAAGTCTTATTGGTTGAACCCTGCAAACCACCTTTGTTGTTGGTTAAATCCCCATGCGTCCCTGCATGTTGGGGCCCTCTAAGACTCTGGCTAGCTAAGTTGGTTTGTAACGAGGTAACCATGGTTTATAGTAGATATATATATATATATATTATATTATATAACTATAGTAAACGGGGTTTATAACCAACTTATAACTAAGGGGGCCAGAGAAATTCTGGTGTCTCCATGCCCAAGCGTCATGATCGCGCATGACGTCCACGGTCTTTCCGCACAGCACGCAGCGACAGCCGTTCGGCACGCGCGAGGACTCGCCTTTCACCACCACGAAGGTCTCGGCAGGGTCTGGCTCCTGGGACCCGGCAGTGGTTGGTCAACGAGTTTTTGGTCGGTGAAGGGGTCATGAAATGTTCTTGTCCAAGTATCAATTTCTTGATACATGTAGTGGGATTTGTTTCTCATACAAAAAATAGATGAAATTGTGTCAAATCAGGTCGCATGAGGTCTCCAATCATAGTAAGCAACATAGGCACATAGGGAGAATAGTGAAAAAATCGATGTCCCCAAACAGACTCATCAGGAGTTTGGGCCATTGCCCAGATGGTCAAACAAGAGTCACCAGACTTTGGGATTGGTTTTCTTGGGAACATCTTCACCGGAAACCATCCGATTTCTTCCATTTTTCATATGAGAAAATCTTTCCGGTGAAAATTGTCCCAAGAAAACCTATCCATTGAGTATTTCATCATGTCATCCAATCTCTATGACCATCCCTCTCCTCCACCACCTGTTTCCGCGTGGCCCGGCGTGCACGGGACGAGGCTGCGTGGGACGTGGCCGCCGCGCGTTCGCCGCGTTCGCCATCGTCACGGTCGGACTCGCTACTGGAGACATGCAGGTGCTCCAATTCTTCAGGCGGCCGGAACCTGGCTCTGGGTTGGGAAAATTCACAACTGGGACCTGGGACAATCCGAAAATCCATGGATTACTCTCTTAATCTTTCTTGCTCAAGTCTGCAAAAGGTTACCAAAAGGGGGATCAACATCTCAAGTATGGAATCGGTGGAAAATATGTGTCATGAAGACGCCAAACATAGAAACAAACACACATTTTTTCTGGTTTTACTAGGATGATCCTTGAATATCTCTGCTACGAGGTTGCCGAGCCGAACACCCAGAAAAAGTTGGTGAAAAACATCCAGTGGCGGATAGAAATCGAGAAGTGCTTACCATGTCATGAGGGTATAAACCAAGAACAACTGGAGGGATTGAAAGAGACATAGATGTGTGATATATATATATATACATACATACATACATGCATATGTTATATACCCTCTGGTGCCATCAGCTCCATGGCTTGCTGGAAAATACCCCATACTTCGAGGGTTTTCCCACCAAACCCGCCATGATGGTGAAGTCTGCTAGATCTTTCTGGGAAGTCAACCTGTCGGGACCCAATTTCCTTCTGAAAATCTCCAAGACATCTATGGCTTCAGGGGTCATCGCCAACATCAACGACCCAATTTTCTCTGCAGCCATGGCACATGTATGGGATCAGGTGCTGCTTCTTCCGAGCGTGGGAGCGCAGGGATTGGCTTCCCTCAAAGGCTTTCCCACAGCTGCACTGAAAACAGCCCTGATGACTTTTCTCCTCAGCTCAAGGGACCCTTGGGATCCTTTTGTGGGGCCGCAGCTGTCGGTCAACTCTGAAAGTGGTGTTTCCAAAACAGGGCGAAGATAGTCAAACAGACTTTGGTGGGGCCATTAGCTCCAAGCAGCCATAAACAGATATTATTTTTTTAAAAATGAAACAATCATTTCGTTTCCAGAAGTCATGTCTGATATGCTCTCTGTGTGTGTGTGCTATATCGCTATATATTTATATAATATCATTGTAATATCTAGCATGTCTACATATCTAGCATGTCTAGACACAAATAACACATAGTGTGATATAATATGTATACATTATATCCATCACCACTAAGAACCGTTTTGAAAACAATGATATATAGTATGCAATCACTAAAACATACTAAAACTATTACATATATATATACTTTAAGTATGTATGTATATAATATATATATATATTACTACTCATGATTACACATCACCACGAATCCCAAATCTATATATATATATACATATATATATATATACCATATATACACATAACCCCCCTCCTTTTCATGGGTTAAAACCTTCAAAAATGACCACCTGCATCCGATGCTCGTGGTGCTTTAAATCGTGCACCAGCTTGGCACAAATCGCGCACCAAGGCTTCCTCGGGGCTCAAAAACTTCACCATTTTATGGTGATGTAGCCAAGCAGAATGGTGATTTAACCAAACATGGGGAAAATATGGGTTTTAACCAGCCAAAATTGTGAACAAATTGAGATTTAAGCAACAGTAACGTGGATTTCACCAACAAAAATCGACTTGATCAACAGAAACTGTGGAGCAACCGACACAATTGTACAAGCCGGAAACATGGGTTTAAGCCAGAAATGAACGATCCACGAAGCCTAATAAACTAGCGATTGTGGAGATGGAAAACATAGGGTTCGTTGGGATCAAGTATTGCTGCAAGGACCTCAGAGATTCCTAGGCAAAAATACTGTGTTTGGGGAGTATGCCCTTCATCTGACTGAATTATCGGAAATTCTCAACTTCAAATGATGTGATTTGTTTGCTAACAATCATCTGCGGCGATGCCGTTGTTAGGTCGAGATAATGCACCCAGATTTATCTGGTAGGGGCCCGTCAGTGCGTGAACTGTTTGGCCAGTCATTTCGAGTACAGCCTGGAAAATGGACCTGGCAATACGGAAACCCTGAGTCTACTCGATGAAGATGAATTGTGCTTGATATAGGGCAAACCATGACATTCTTTCTTGGGGTTTTCATCAGTACATCCTTGAAATTGAACATGGAAGCCAAAAAGTGGTCATGTTCCAACAGGACTCAATAGGAACATCCTCTCATCATTCGCCCCCCCAGGTTTGCTGCAATTCTAAGGGTAAGAGACCCGCCAGTCACGGAGGATTAGGGACAGACCACTTGATTACTTGCCCAGATCCTCATGGCCTCATGGTTCATTGCTATGGGATTCATGGCATTCATGGCTTTGCCCCTTATGGATCCTATGGATCCTATGGATTGATAAGCCCAGCTGCGCCAGCTTGGACTTCATATCATGTGGCACCAGGAAGGTCTTGAACAGCGACTCGTCCAGCCTCTCCAGCTTCACCGGAGACCTCAGCGACGCCGGGATGAACGCCCTGTAGCAGGCCTTCCGGAATCATGGTCGAAATCGGAAGGGGAGTTCTCGCCTCACCACGAATCTTTCTGTGAAGCTTTTGAAAGCTAAGGTTGTAGGATTTGTCAAGTGGTTGATAGGTTCAATCCATCACATAGTCAGAAAGTCGTCTGGGTTTCTTGTTGATGGCATACTGTACTCCACATGCTGTTTGGAATATCCCAATCCCTCGGTTTTGTGGGCAATGCTGATGCTGACCCTGGGTGAATACACCTCGGGGTGGAAAAAAGCTTGGTACCTTGTTGAAATCACTTTTTTTGGTGGTGTCAAACTACTTGTATGATCAGCCAGGGGTTGGTAGGGCGGGGAGGACACTACCCGAGTCAACACATATTGCCAACATATTATATTGTCAGCCCCATCTGCACAAATGTAGCATATATATATATATACACATATGGTCATATGGGGGGTTCCTAAAATAGGGGTACCCGCAAATCATCCAAATTTAGACTATTTTTGTATTGACACCCATGGTTTTGGGCCCCCCCCATTTCAGGAAACCTCCATATATTGGTCAATCACAATCATGATTCACTCACCAGTGCGGCCTTCAGAGATAGTTATCCCATTCTTCAGCCAAGCCTCGGCATATTCTCATTAACTTCGATCTCCGACGCATGGAGCCCTGGATGAAGGAAGCCCTGGCTGAATTCGGGGCACATGTGGAGCCCTGGAGTTGGGAAAAATCATCAATTGGCCAACAAGATGGAGGTTTCATGAGGTTTCCATAGTCATGGGGCTACCCCAATAGCTGGATGGTTTACCAAAAAAAAACATCTATGGATGAGGACTAGGGGTACCCCCATTTCAGGATCGGGAAAAAACAACATAGATTTAAGCAGCAAAAAATCCAAGGAACCGGTTTTCGCCCCAGGAATGAACAGTACCCCAGGGGTGGCTGGCAGAATGTGCTGGATCTACTTGTTTTGGGTGGGAAACTTTTTTGGGGCGGCTGCTGAGTTTAGGGGATGAGCATACCAAGAAAACCGGGATAGCTGCCATTGATTTATTGACCAACAATCGAAAAAATCAGTAAGATTGGTATTGATACGAATCTTATCAATATCTTTAGAACACCAACAATGGGAAACTGACCTATCCCTTGGATAGGAAGGAATCTGATTCCAAACCAACTGCTAGAGTCTGCTAGAGTAGCTGTGCCATGTAACCCTGCACGGCACTAGTACTGTCCATAGGGCCACACAGAATTCGCACTTGATCCACCGTCCCCGCCACGAAAATATACGAAAATCAATCCCGTACCAAGGTGTACCCATCATTTGCTGATTTCGTCTAAAAAACCATCAGTTTTGCGGAGCATCTCAACCTGAACGGTGCCACGGTACCATCCTAATGGGGATGTGGGCATTTCCTGAAATGGGGGAACCCCTAAATCATCCATCTGTAAGATTTATAGACGGATTTTCCATTATAAATAACCATCCAGCTATTGGGTATCCCCATTTCTGTGAAACCCCCATGTGTTGCTTACCTATCTCAACCCCCCAAGAAAGTCAGCTCAGTGGCTCCCGCGCCATTGTCCACGCAGGCTTCAAAGGTACCATCGACCTTAGCCCTCAGCAAGGTGCACGCGAGCCACGTAGGTCGCCCAATGCCCCCGACAGCCGCGGTTTTGTACCTGGACCGACACAGGCTGTTTTGATCTTTCGAAAGTAGCCAGTTTTTCAGCCTGATGGCTATTGGGTTCGGATATCTGGCTCGGAAGTGACATCTAATCCATCGATGGTGAACTACCAAGGACTCATCGCTAACGGGGGGACCCGTTTTTAAACCCCAACCTGTAGGACTCATCCTACTTCCACTACTGATTTGTTGGGGTGAACCACCACTGGTACAGCAGGGCACTTCCACTGGTACAGCAGGTTGCGCGCCAAAGAATCTTCGTAGCGCGCTGCAGCCCAGTAGCGGTGTTGGTTCTCCCTAATGGCAGATTTGGATGGACATCCCTGTTCGCAACTGGCTAACCGTCTATATTGATTCGATCTATAAATATCTATAATGTGCATTGGATATTCTACATATTATATATATATGTATATATACATAATATATATATATATACATATGTCATGTATGCTGTATATGGATTCTAACCTAACCATGTTCATGGCAAACCACTGCCGCTGTTGTGGCATCGCACCACCCCTAGCAATAGGTCAAAACATCACAGTCCAGTGTTTATAGCCATCCCCAATTGGGGTTTATGAGATTTAGTAGACCCCTAGCAATAGGCCCCACATGCTTGGTGAATGGGATTCTAACTTGGAAGATCATCCCATTTAGAAACTGCTGAAAATAACCCTGGTTCATAAGTCCCCTAACTGGGCTATCCCATTTATACCTTTCGATTTGCTCAAGGAACCCGCATATACATATATATATATTATAGATATATGCTATAATATCTATATATATATTATAGATATATGCTATAATATGTGTATATATATATTATAGATATATGCTATAATATGTATATATATATATATACAAATTATACAATATTAATATACCCATATATGTCCTATAGATTCCCCAAGTCATGGATTTCCTATTTAAAAAGTAAGCCAAATCATGGACGTCCACCGCATTTCTCCAGACACCACTTCTCCCGTCAAGGTGCGCACGGAGATTGTCATGGTGATATTGCGACTCGTCGTCCATGAACAAAGAGATTTCCTTTAAAAAAAAAAAAACGGCCGAGTTGGGATTCACCAAATGATGTGGAAAAAATGACAATTCAAATGATGTAAACAAGGAATGATTAGTACAATAACAAGGAATTCCTTGTAATGACAATTCAAAAGAAAATCATTAGTACTCACCAAATGATGTAAAAATTAACTCTGGACTATGTGATGTTAACCAACCCAAACTCCCGGTATTCAAAATTTGACATCTCTTTTTGGATCAAAAAAAAGGCTACTGACGGCATACCGGTAATCAAACGTGGCTGGAAAATCCCCTTTTGTTCACATCAAAGTAGCGATTTAGGGATGTTCATCCCCCTAAAAATATGCTATGAGTTATGGTATTCATAGGTATTGATCCATAGGGTCCATAGCCATCTAAGATCATCTAAGATCATCTAGGAATGTGATGGTCCCAGCTTCGCTCTGCTCTTCATTCATGACCGGGCTCCTGTCGCTGGAGAAGAAATCAGGGGGGACCTGGTTGGACCCAAAAACCCAAAAGCTTCGTGCGAGATCTTCACCGAAAAAATCTCGCATTCAGAAAACAATGGCATTGGGACCATTGGGATTCAATTATTATATTATTAATATGGCAACCATTGGGATTCAATTGCAGTTCAATCTATGAAACCATCATTATCAATATTCCTCCTGAGTGCCGAATGCAGGGTGACCACTGCTATGACCTCGGGAAGGGTCTGTGCAAGCGCTGCACCACTCCAGCCGTGTGCCCTCGGCCGGGGCCCCGCGAGTGCAAGCCGTTCTTCCACTTCATCTCGAATTCGTGCTGGTCCTGTGAGGGATGGAGTTCGCAGCTGATTCTGATCCCCTATCTATGTATACTGGACAGTATAAGCCCATATAATAATATACCAACAGTGGTTTTGAACTTTTGAGAGGGGATGGGGGGGTATGATGTGAGCAAAAGAGATATGTATATAGACTATAGATGCTCAGCGGCCCCGCCAGGGCCTACCTTGAAGCCACTAGAAGGTGTGGGTGTGTATGTGTATATATATATATATATCTCTTGTCATTTTTTAAAACATATGAAACATTTCCTGTTGAAATCGTGCGCGCGCAGGCGCGCGAGCATTTAACACATGCGCGCGCGAGGTGCGCAAGCACAGACAGGCGCGCGCGCGAGACGCGCGAGCAAAGACAGGCGCGCTCACTTCGGACACACGCGCGCGCAAATAAGCTCTCCAAAAGTGGATTTGGTGAGCTTATTTGCGATTTGGAGAGCTTATTTGCGCGCACGAAGAGCTTATTTGCGCGCGCGCGTGTCGGACGGGCGCGCGCGCGAACATGCGCGCATCTTGGCCTTGCTTGCGCACCTCGCGCGCGCACCTCTATTTGCTCGCGCGTCTCGCGCGCGCGCGCGCCTGTCGTTGCTCGCGCACCTCGCGCGCGCACGTGTTAAATGCTCGCGCGCTCACGCTGCGCACCCCGCAGCTGGTGAGGCACCATACATGAATTCATATGTTTTGAATCAAGCCAATATATATCTGTATAATTATATACAATATGTGAATGTGTGTAGGAACAGTGAGTAGTCCGATCTTTCCAGGCACTTGTTTTGCCCTCACGACACATGTTTTTTGCCGAATCCCAAAAGACTGGAACATCTTAGGTCCTAGAAACTTCATGATATTTTTTCCATATTTTTCCATATGTTTCCATATTTTTCCATATTTTTCCTAGACTTTTCCCTTCATAGTCCTCTTCAACAGTCAGAGTTTCATGTGTTTCTCGAATCTTCGCCTTCGTTTCGACCAAACGTGCCACATTTCCATCATCGGGGATGTCATGGGATGCGCTCCTCCCATCGGATGACTTCCACTAGCACCCTCTCCACTTTGCAATGCTTGTAGCAAAACAAGCGTCTGTTGTCAATGGCCCAGAACTGCCCGTCGTGCCTTAGTCGGACGGGATGACGGAAGGCCCCTTCGTTTCATGAAAACCGGGTGGCTGTCCTATAAGTGTATCGATTGTACCAGCCTTAGCCATTTTGGTTGCTTTCGTTCCCATATCAATTCTCATTTGGGATTGAAAATTGGAGCAACATGCCCAAAATTATCATTTAATGGAGAACCTGATGATTAACCGGTGGATTTGGGCATAGTCTTGGAACAAACCCATGGAGGCATCCATTTCTCAAAATGACAAAAAAGATGTATCAAGGTAATTCATGTATGGGTACCCTGCCATTCACACCAAAATCTGGTAAATTGGATGCTCATGACTCATGCCCTCAAAATAACTAAATATGGGTAAATATGGTGTAGCTTGTGACCAATCCCAATTGTTATAATTTATAATATAAATATCCAGTCTTGTGGGTTTAAACCCACCATCTCTTGTTGGTTGAATCAAGATCATAGGTCTTGACCCATCCCTTCATAACTCATAACCAAATAATTGACTGTAGTTTAATCATCGCCAGCCTTGGATTCTCATTTATGGTCAAAGATTTAAAGTATTGTCTCAAGATATACAAACTATCCTTCACCAAGTTGTTCCCAGTGTTCATATCCCAAATCCCCATTCGGCTTTGTCTGATAATAGGATAAGTACCAAACATTTCATGTTGAGAACCTCATTCCCTCCCTTTAAAGAGCTGCATTCTCTGGGTATTCGGCCATTTTCAGACAAGCCCATATATCATATTCAAATTGCTATGAGTTGATTATACAAGTTCTATACTAGTCCCAACAAAAAAGGCAACAGATCACCATATTTCTTGGTGAAGTCCCCACTGGGTTGCCATCGCCATCGCGCCGAGGTGCCACGCCACCCGAATCAATGGGATCTGGCGCGGGTGCACCTGACCGGACAACACGGCCTCGATGAGCTCCATGACATCGCGGCGGTCGTGGCTGAAGGAATCGTTGACCTGGGAACCGGGGCAGAGGTGAAAAACTAGGATCATAGGTTTCGATCATGGGATGATCATGGGTTTTTTTTGGGGATAATCATGGGATTTTTTTGGGGATGACTGAATATATCCCATGATCATTGGATATAAAGAAATATGGGATCACAGGTTTCTACTGGTTTCATGGGATTTTTTGGAGGGAAAAAAAAGGACCATAATTCAATCTGAGGTCATAGGATCACAGTTCAATGGGATCCATATTAGGATCATTTGTCGGCACTGGGAGATACGGGATGCTACAGGTCAAACATTTCGCCACCAAAAAAAAGATCTTTCCCAACACGATTGATGATTTTACTGTGCCATCTATCGGAAACTCATCTATAATTGAATGTATAGAATAGGTGGATCTGTCATCTATGAATGAAATCTGTGTTAGTTCGTAAGAAAATGTGGATAGGGGGCATCGGAGTGCAGGTCACTTTCAAAAAAAAATGGATACCAAAGGGATTCCTCTCGCACCTTGAAACCACCAACCATGCAATATATTCCCTTGTTTTCTGCTGGAAACTCACCGTTTTTGATGATGAAAACCTTCCATTTGCCAGTGAAACTCCTTGAATCACCACTTTCTTTTAGTAATATCTCCGAAAACAACCTATATAAGTTTCATGTTGAATCACCATGTTTCTTAAAAAGGACATTTGGGTGAACTACATCGCCCATTTTCCCCGGCCTGCCGTTGCGTAAAGGCGATGTCGCAGACCCGCAGTAGTCGCTTCCCGACCGGCAGCTGGTGGGCCGTGGCGAGGTCATACTGCCAGGGCAAAGCGTCCTGTGTGGGGAAAGCCTTGGAGAATGATTTTTGGCTAAAACAACAGACCATTAAAACAACAGACCATTGGTTATCCATTGGAAAATCATAGGAAAATGGTGGTTTTAAGGGAAAATCAATAGCAAAACCATAGGAAAATTGTGGTTTTATGGGAAAATCATTGGAAAATCATAGGAAAATGGTGGTTTTAAGGGAAAATCAATAGCAAAACCATAGGAAAATGGTGGTTTTATGGGAAAATCATTGGAAAATCATAGGAAAATGGTGGTTTTAAGGGAAAATCATAGGAAAAATAGGAAAATGGTGGTTTTACCCTCTGGTAAACATACAAACAACTGATGGGAAAATCACCATTGATTTCGTGAAATTTCCCATGAAAAATGATGATGATCTGGATTACTGATGATTACTGTGTATAAAAACGGATTTTCATGTGAGTAGCAATGGACATTTAATCACTAACGTTTGGACTACTGATTCCTGTGTATAATTGAACTGTGGCGAAGCAGTGCACCATCCCAACAGTCTTTTCCACCAAAGGCTTAATCACAATTTACAATTAGTCTTTTGACAATACTAATACACCAACAATCACAATGATGGTGATGATCAAATTACGATGATGATGATTATTATTATATATTATTGTTAGTGCTATATCGTGTTATTATCATTATCATGATGATGTGGTCGTGGCTGTGGCCGTGGTCATGGTTGTGGTTGTGGTGATGATGATTGCGATCGTTGTTATGACCATTGTCAGGGTTGTTGGCGATGGTCATCATAGCAAGTGTGATAATCATAATGATAAGAATCCCCAGGATGGTTGTGTTATGACCATGAACCTCCAATGAGAATTACTCCATGTTACCCCCCAAAAAAAGCAGGAAACACAGGAAACACACAAAAAAGGGGAACTCTTTGACTCTCCGAATTCCGTAGTTTCTGTCAAACAAAATAGATCCATCATATCATCTAATAGGATCCACATGGAAAATCCATGGATCCTGTCCTCGGAGGGAGCCATAGGACCAAGCTTCCATTGCTTTTTTTGGAGTGCAAGCTTGAGCCAAAGACACCAGCCGCTGGTTGCCATTCAGGGAGATCGTCCCCAAAAATGGGGGGAGTTCACCACCGAAAGGTTGAAGAACCAATGGCAACTTGAGGTTTTCTTGATCCCTGGGCTAAAAGTTCCAGTGGGAGAGGGATAATGTGTAAATCCATGACACAAACACGGAACATCTAAGTGTACGGCTATATATAATTCATCCAGTGAAGGGACATCTTGGGAGGATGTCATGGATTGATTTGAAAAAATATATTACTTGTTGCAACCCATGTGTTTTTACCATCAGGACAACAACGAAAGTGTCCAGCCGGTAAAAGCAACATCCCTCGTGTTCATAACTGACACTGATTATCCACCAATCTACAGATCAAGAAGTCATCGTCTCAAGATTAGGAGGATGCTCGAGACCCCCATCACTTGATTCATTAACCTCATCGATGAACAGCCACTGGTTCTGTCGTCAGTTTTAGGGATCTCTACTGGCATGGAAAGGCCCCCTTTACTTGCATGATTATCGTGTTTCGCTAGACTGGCACTTCTTGAAAAAAACCCGTTAGCCTGGTCAAACTGCTAATTTTGTTGTTTCAACCCAGAAGTGAAATATGATACTTACTGCTTACTCTTCGAATCGCCGGTTTCCGCTGTTGAATTCCCCATGTTCCAGCTTGTTTTTCTGGCAAAGAGCGAGAAATTACTCTTAATTCCCCAGATAGCTGGCAAGCTATAGGGGTTCTTACTTCTCAAAGGTGGGGTCTTCGGTGGCGAACTTTTGAGCAGGGTGCTGTGCAGGGTGCTGCGCAGGGTGCTGTGCAGGGTGCTGTGCAGACTGCGGTGGCGAAGTCTGGCAACGGTGCTGTGCAGGGTGCTGTGCAGGGTGCTGTCCAGACTGCGTTGGCGAAGTCTGGCAAAGGTGTGCAGGGTGCTGTCCAGACTGCGGTGGCGAAGTCTGGCAAAGGTGCTGTGCAGGGTGCTGTGCAGGGTGCTGTGCAGGGTGCTGTGCAGGGTGCGGTGGCGAAGTCTGGCAAAGTTGCTGCAGGGTGCTCTGCAGGGTGTTGTCCAGAGTGCGGTGGCGAAGTCTGGCACAGGTGCTGTGCAGGGTGCTGTGCAGGGTGCTGTCCAGACTGCGGCGGCGAAGTCTGGCAAAGGTGCGGTGCAGGGTGCTGTGCAGGGTGCTGTGGAGGGTGCTGTGGAGGGTGCTGTGCAGGGTGCTGTGCAGGGTGCTGCCCAGACTGCGGTGGCGAAGTCTGGCACAGGTGCTGTGCAGGTGTGCAGGGTGCTGTCCAGACTGCGGTGGCGAAGTCTGGCAAAGGTGCTGTGCAGGGTGCTGTGCAGGGTGTTGTCCAGAGTGCGGTGGCGAAGTCTGGCAAAGGTGCTGTCGAAGTCTGGCAAAGGTGCTGTGCAGGGTGCTGTGCAGGGTGCTGCAGGTGCTGCTGCTGCGCAGGGTGCTGTGCAGGGTGCTGTCCAGACTGCGGTGGCGAAATCTGGAAGGTGCTGTGCAGGGTGTTGTCCAGACTGCGGTGGCGAAGTGTGGCAAAGGTGCTGTGCAGGGTGCTGTGCAGGGTGTTGTCCAGAGTGCGGTGGCGAAGTCTGGGAAAGGTGCTGTGCAGGGTGCTAGGGTGCTGTGGAGGGTGCTGTGCAGGGTGCTGTCCAGACTGCGGTGGCGAAGTCTGGCAAAGGTGCTATGCAGGTTGCTGTGCAGGGTGCTGTCCAGACTGCGGTGGCGAAGTCTAGCAAAGGTGCTGTGCAGGGTGTTGTCCAGACTGCGGTGGCGAAGTCTGGCAAAGGTGCTGTGCAGGGTGCTGTGCAGACTGCGGTGGCGAAGTCTGGCAAAGGTGCTGTGCAGGGTGCTCTGCAGGGTGTTGTCCAGAGTGCGGTGGCGAAGCTGTGCGGGGTGCTGTGCAGACTGCGATGGCGAAGTCTGGCAAAGGTGCTGTGCACGCTGCTATCCAGACTGCGGTGGCGAAGTCTCGCAAAGGTGCTGTGCAGGGTGCTGTGATGGGTGCTGTCAAAGGTGCTGTGCAGGGTGCTGTGCAGGTTGCTGTGCAGGGTGCTGTGCAGGGTGCTGTGCAGGGTGCTGTGCAGAGTGCGGTGGCGAAGCTGTGCAGGGTGCTGTGCAGACTGCGATGGCGAAGTCTGGCAAAGGTGCTGTGCACGCTGCTATCCAGACTGCGGTGGCGAAGTCTCGCAAAGGTGCTGTGCAGGGTGCTGTGAAGGGTGCTGTCAAAGGTGCTGTGCAGGGTGCTGTGCAGGTTGCTGTGCAGGGTGCTGTGCAGGGTGCTGTGCAGGGTGCTGTGCAGGGTGCTGTGCAGCGTGCTGTGCTTTGGTTCCCACGTTGGGAACGGTCAGTTCCAGCCTTTAGGAACCGGAAGTTTTTTGCAATGGTAATCTATGGTTCCCAGGTTGGGAAGCATGAATTCCAACCTCTGGTAACCGGCAGTTGCTTGCAATGGTAACCCATGGTTCCCAGGTTGGGAACCAGGAGTTCCAACCTCTGGGAAACGGCAGTTCCTTGCAATGGTAACCTGTGGTTCCCACGTTGGCAACAGTGAGTTCCAACCTTTGGGAACCGGCAGTTCCTTGCCATGAACCAAACGCTAACATCCCGGTACCGGTCCATTAAGCAAAACAAAGCGTTCTTTACCGGTCCAATAAGCAAAACCATAAAGTTGTAAAGAAACTGTTTTCATAGCATTTTAACATGCACCTTTTTCGTGCAAAAACATTTTTATGCCGGCCCAGCAGCCGAAAGCAAACATTCCGCTACCGGTCCATTAAGCAAAACAAAAGGTTCTGTTACCGGCTCAGTAAACAAAACAAAACAACATTAAGAACCATGAGTTCTAACTGTTTGCAATCAACAGGTCCTTCCACTGGTAACGTTACTTTTTCAGGCTCGGAACCATGAGTTTCAAGCTTTGGATACCCGCAGTTCCTTACAATGAAAGCCGCTTAGCTTCGAAAACATAAATTCTAACTTCTGGGAACCGGCAATTCCTTGCAATGGTAACCTCTGGTTCCCAGGTTGGGAACCGTAAGTTTCAAGGTCTGGGAACCGGCAGTTCCTTGCCATGGCAACCTTTGGTTCCCACGTTGGGAACCATCAGTTCCAACCTTTAGGAACTGAAAGTTCTTTGCAATGGTAACCTATGGTTCCCAGGTTGGGAAGCATGAGTTCCAACCTCTGGGAACCGGCAGTTGCTTGCAATGGTAACCTCTGGTTCCCAGGTTGGGCACCATGCGTTCCAACCTGTGGGAAACGGCAGTTCGTTGCACTGGTATAACCTGTGATTCCCACGTTGGCAAGCGTGAGTTCCAACCTTTGGGACCCGGCAGTTCCTTGCCATGAACCAAACGCAAACATTCTGGTACCGGCCCATTAAGCAAAACAAAGCGTTCTTTACCGGTCCATTAAGCAAAACCAAAAAGTTGTAAAGAAACTGTTTTCATATCATTTTAACATGCACCTTTTTCGTGCAAAAACATTTTTCTGCCGGCCCAGCAGCCGAACACAAACATTCCGCTACCGGTCCATTAAGCAAAACAAAATGTTCGGTTGCCGGCTCAGTAAACAAAACAAAACAACATTAAGAACCATGAGTTCTAGCTTTTTGGAGTCAACAGATCCTTCCACTGGTAACGTATGCTTTTTCAGGTTTGGAACCATGAGTTTCAAGCTTTGGGAACCCACAGTTCCTTACAATGAAAGCCGCTTAGCTTCGAAAACATAAATTCTAACTTGTGGGAACCGGCAATTCCTTGCAATGGTAACCTCTGGTTCCCAGGTTGGGAACCGTAAGTTTCAAGGTCTGGGAACCGGCAGTTCCTTGCCATGGTAACCTCCTTTGGTTCCCACGTTGGGAACCATCAGTTCCAACCTTTAGGAACTGGAAGTTCTTTGCAATGGTAACCTGTGGTTCCCAGGTGGGAACCGGCAGTTGCTTGCAACGGTAACCTCTGGTTCCCAGGTTGGGAACCAGGAGTTCCAACCTCTGGGAACCGGCAGTTCCTTGCAATGGTAACCTTTCCCACGTTGGCAACAGTGAGTTCCAACCTTTGGGAACCGGCTGTTCCTTGCTATGAACCAAACGCAAACATTCTGGTACCGGTCCATTAAGTCATTAAGCAAAACAAAGCGTTCTTTACCGGTCCATTAAGCAAAACCAAAAAGTTGTAAAGAAACTGTTTTCATATCATTTTAACATGCACCTTTTTCGTGCAAAAACATTTTTATGCCGGCCCAGCAGCCGAACGCAAACATTCCGCTACCGGTCCATCAAGCAAAACAAAAGGTTGTTACCGGCTCAATAAACAAAACAAAACAACATTAAGAACCATGAGTTTTAACTTTTTGGAATCAACAGATCCTTCCACTGGTAACGTATGCTTTTTCAGGTTTGGAACCATGAGTTTCAAGCTTTGGGAATCCCTTACAATGATAGTTGCTTAGCTTCGAAAACATAAATTCTAACTTCTGGGAACCGGCAATTCCTTGCAATGGTAACCTCTGGTTCCCAGGTTGGGAACCGTAAGTTTCGTCTGGGAACCGGCAGTTCCTTGCCATGGTAACCTTTGGTTCCCAAGTTGGGAACCGTCAGTTCCAACCTTTAGGACCCGGAAGTTCTTTGCAATGGTAACCTATGGTTCCCAGGTTGGGAAGCATGAGTCCAACCTCTGGTAACCGGCAGTTGCTTGCAATGGTAACCCATGGTTCCCAGGTTGGGAACCAGCACCAGCAGCAGCAGCAGCAGCAGCAGTGGTAACCTGTGGTTCCCACGTTGGCAACCGTGAGTTCCAACCATTGGGAACCGGCAGTTCCTTGCCATGAACCAAACGCAAAAAATCCGGTACCGGTCCATTAAGCAAAACAAAGCGTTCTTTACCGGTCCATTAAGCAAAACCAAAAAGTTGTAAAGAAACTGTTTTCATATTAATTTTAACATGCCCCTTTTTCGTGCAAA